ATTATCCAATATCAGGTGTTCCACGCACTGAGTGTTCACAGGAATGACTGCTGTGGGCTGGGAACCACCATGGCCGGGATTATCACTGATGGAGTACAACCATCTTTGAAACATTTTTTTTTTTTATTCTCTTTATTATAATTTTTGCAAATTAAATCAGTACAAAACAGAGCCTCTGGGCTCCGGCTCAGATTAGAAAACAATCAATACAACATAAGAAATAACAGAACAACATAAAAACAGCTCACTCTTACCAGCTAAGTAATAACCTGAGATCTGTATCACTTGGAAGGAATTATAGGTCTCGGCATACATAGGAGGTGAGAAGGAAAATAGACAGTGGGAACAATAAAAATCCCAGCTGAACTCCCTGGGGAGCAGATAATAGGCACAACGGCTACCCTAAGGGCCACAAGGGGAAAAGAGTAAATGGGAAACAGCTTGACCACAGTTAGTTCAATTACCCAAAATCAGTTGCCACCATTGAGGAGGATTCTAACCATACATTCCAAATTTTAGTGAATTTCCTCGGGCATCCCCTAGATATATACGTCAACTTTTAATAGGGCACCACAGAATTCACCACCGTCTTCCAAAAGCCTGGACCCTTTTCCATTGCAACACAACGGCCTTTCTGGCATAGAAAAGTAATAGACCAAGAAGCGTCCTAATTGCCCTAGTATGTGCTAATGAATTGACTAGGCCCAAGAGGCACACATCCACATCTTCAGTTTTACTCAAATTAGTTGATACAAAAATGAATACACCCCATAACAAAAACTACTACATCTAGTATTTTGTATGACCTCCATGATTTGTAAGGAAAGCACCAAGTCTTCTAGGCATGGAATGAACAAGTTGGCAACATATTGCAACATCTATCCTTTTCCATTCTTCAAGAACGACCTCTTTTAGAGCCTGGATGCTGGATGGAAAGTGATGCTCAACTTTTCTCTTCAGAATTCCCCATAGGTGTTTGATTGGGTTCAGAATCACTTTCACCCTGTTCTTCTTCAGGAATTCAACAGTTTCCTTAGATGTGTGTTTTCGATCACTGTCATGTTGGAAAAGTGCACAATGACCAAGGGCACGGAGTAATGGTAGCATCTTATCTTTCAGTATAGAGCAGTACATCTGTGAATTCATGATAACATCAAAGAAATGCAGCCATCAAATGTCACGGAACGCCTGTCACCCAGATTGGGTGATTCTATCAGAGAACCGCTTCCTCGCCACTGGGACACAGGACCAAGGTATTATAGCTGGGCATTGCACCTAAGACTAGATGAGACTAGCTTAGATGCTGGACCGGAACTCTTTATTGAGCATAAATACAGTTTTTATACACTCCAGAAATAGGGCAGTGCCCCCACATGGACAATAAAACAAATATTACACATATTAAACATCCCACACTGATTAGGTAAGAGCTTGATCATATTATCCTAATGAGTACAGCCAACAACTAACAGTGATCTAATTAACAGTAAGCTAATCAGCAGCCAGGCACCCAGACCAGCCTTGATTAGTCATGGAGCCCACCCAGACAGAACAGAGCCTACATAGGAGTACATGGAACAGAGACCAATGTGACCAGCTCCTTTCATGAATGTCAGGAACATTGTTGTACACCTCCGCAGTCCTTCCTGTGAGCCGGCTGACCAGGAGCATGACCCAATCTGCTTCTTCGACATCTTGAAGCCCGCATTGCCACTTGAACATTTGCAGGTAAACATCCATCTCATCTTCCCCATTTTGGAACATGCGGAAGGCAGCATAGGGTAACTTTCTGAAGGCCTCTGGAGCTCCTTGGTTGGGAATAACTGGCGTGCCTCTGTCCCAGTGGAGTTCAGCCAAATGCAGCTGGGTTGCCCCCGTAACACTTGACTGATCACTTCTTGCGAAGGGTTAATACCATACAGGGACAGGCACCACTTGACCCCATGCAAGACCTCTGAGAACTCTGAGGTATCTGATGGTGGGTTGCTGGCCCGGTCACTAGAGATGAGCGAAGTATTCAAAAATTCGATTCGGCTGATTCGGCGAATTCGAGGAATAAATTTGATTCGAGGCGAATATATATTCGCTGCGAATTTAACTTATAAAAGGGTGTTTCTAGGCTTCAGAGAGCCTTTATATTAGTGCAGAACACTGTACCTTTAATTTAAATGCCCTTGGAGTCTGCTGGGGAAGAGAAATAATACTGTCAGTCAGTATGACATGCAGATGAGTGCCGTCGATCTTAGAATCACCGCACACTTCACTCATTTGGGCAGTCACGGGGCCAAAACCAGAGTGTGGAGCCATAGTGTGGCGGTGGAGGCAGCAGCAATGGGAGGCCATACAGCACCCTATGACAAAAATGGAACCCACCAGCAGTGTGAGGAGACCTGAAAGTGGCACATGGCAGAGTGTGGCGATGGAGACAGCAGCAATGGGAGGCCGTACAGGGACCCATGACACACTCTGGACCTGGCAGCAGCATGAGGAGGCGGTACAGGGGCCCATGACAGATTACGGGCCTGGCAGCAGCATGAGGAGTCGGTATGGGGGCCCATGGCAGATTACGGGCCTGGCAGCAGCAATGGGAGGCCATACAGCACCCTATGACAAAATGGAACCCACCAGCAGTGTGAGGAGACCTGAAAGTGGCACATGGCAGAGTGTGGCGATGGAGGAGACAGCAGCAATGGGAGGCCGTACAGGGACCCATGACACACTCTGGACCTGGCAGCAGCAATGGGAGGCCCGTAATCTGCCAGCACCCTATGACAAAATGGAACCCACCAGCAGTGTGAGGAGACCTGAAAGTGGCACATGTTTGGGGCATGATTCATGGCGGATTTAGTCAGTTGTGTCAGGAACTGGTGGTTTGAAATCCAGACTAATCCACGCCTGATTCATTTTCACAAACGTGAGTCTCTCCACACTTTGGGTGGACAGTCGTGTCCTCCGCGGAGTTACAATACCTCCTACCGCACTAAACACGCGCGCTCCGATGCCACGCTACTGGCCGGGCATGACAGCCTTTCAAGGGCAAATTCAGCTAGTTGGGGCCAAAGGTCAAGTTTCGTTGCCCAGTAGTCAAGGGGATTGTCTACCTCGGTTGGCAGGGTGCTGTCCAAGTAGGCCCAAGCCTGTTGTTTGAGGTCCCGCTCCAGGTCCACCTGATGCTGCTGCTGCTGCGGCGGCTGGTTAGTAGTTTCCTCACTGCGCTGGTGAAGAAAGCTACTCATCATCGACTGCAGACTGTGGCAGCCACTGCTGGTGGAGCTGCCACTGCTCCTACCACCCCACCCCTCCCCTGCTGCCATGGCAGCGGAACGCGAGCGCACAGGGCCCACAGTGTCTGAGGATGGACGTTGGGCAGAAAGGCAGAGACCAACTGACTACATAGGTGGTTTTTATAGTACTTTATTTTGGCCTCCCTCTCAGCAGGTGTGAAAAAGGCCACCATTTTTGAACGGTAGCGAGGGTCCAACAAGGTGGACAGCCAAAAGTCATCCCTCTGTCTGATGGTTATTATTCGGCTGTCTCTACGCAAGCAACCGAGCATGCTATGGGCCATTTGTGCCAAGGAATGCGAGGGACTCCCTGCCTCCATCTCCACAGCATATGGCACGGTGCGTCTGGGTCCTCTGTCTCCTCCTCCTCCTCCTCTACCAGATGCTCCTGCTCCTCCACTCCTGTCCGCTGAGTGGAAAAACCACCCATTTCACTCAATAATTCCTGAGCACCAATGTCCTCCTCTACCTCCTCCTCTTCTTCCTGTCCTGCCCCCACAGGGGTCATGTGGCGTTGAGATCTGTGCGCCACGTCTACAGCACCCTGACCAGCCATTGTTAACAGCATTTGTTCCAGGACGTGCAACAGAGGAATGACGTCGTTCATCCCATAGTCCTGCCGACTCACGAATAGCGTGGCCTCCTCAAAGGGCCTGAGCAAGCGGCAGGTGTCACGCATGAGCTGCCAATGGCTGACATCTAAGTTACACAGGGGACCTTTATCCGCATGTAACATCAGGAAATCGGTGATGGCCTTTCGCTGTACGTAAAGGCGGTCTAACATATGTAGGGTTGAATTCCACCTTGTTGCAACGTCACAGCATGAGGAGTCGGTACGGGGGCCCATGGCAGATTACGGGCCTGGCAGCAGCAATGGGGGCCCGTAATCTGCCAGCACCCTATGAAAAAATGGAACCCACCAGCAGTGTGAGGAGACCTGAAAGTGGCACATGGCAGAGTGTGGCGATGGAGACAGCAGCAATGGGAGGCCGTACAGGGACCCATGACACACTCTGGACCTGGCAGCAGCATGAGGAGGCGGTACAGGGGCCCATGACAGATTACGGGCCTGGCAGCAGCATGAGGAGTCGGTACGGGGGACCATGGCAGATTACGGGCCTGGCAGCAGCAATGGGAGGCCCGTAATCTGCCAGCACCCTATGACAAAATGGAACACACCAGCAGTGTGAGGAGACCTGAAAGTGGCACATGGCAGAGTGTGGCGATGGAGACAGCAGCAATGGGAGGCCGTACAGGGACCCATGAGACACTCTGGACCTGGCAGCAGCATGAGGAGGCGGTACGGGGGCCCATGGCAGATTACGGGCCTGGCAGCAGCAATGGGAGGCCCGTAATCTGCCAGCACCCTATGACAAAATGGAACCCACCAGCAGTGTGAGGAGACCTGAAAGTGGCACATGGCAGAGTGTGGCGATGGAGACAGCAGCAATGGGAGGCCGTACAGGGACCCATGAGACACTCTGGACCTGGCAGCAGCATGAGGAGGCGGTACGGGGGCCCATGGCAGATTACGGGCCTGGCAGCAGCAATGGGAGGCCCGTAATCTGCCAGCACCCTATGACAAAATGGAACACACCAGCAGTGTGAGGAGACCTGAAAGTGGCACATGGCAGAGTGTGGCGATGGAGACAGCAGCAATGGGAGGCCGTACAGGGGGACCCATGAGAGACTCTGGACCTGGCAGCAGCATGAGGAGGCGGTACGGGGCCCATGGCAGATTACGGGCCTGGCAGCAGCAATGGGAGGCCCGTAATCTGCCAGCACCCTATGACAAAAATGGAACCCACCAGCAGTGTGAGGAGACCTGAAAGTGGCACATGGCAGAGTGTGGCGATGGAGACAGCAGCAATGGGAGGCCGTACAGGGACCCATGAGACACTCTGGACCTGGCAGCAGCATGAGGAGGGCGGTACACAGGGGCCCATGACATTACGGGCCTGGCAGCAGATGAGGAGTACGGGGGCCTGGCAGATTACGGGCCTGGCAGCAGCAATGGGAGGCCCGTAATCTGCCAGCACCCTATGACAAAATGGAACACACCAGCAGTGTGAGGAGGAGACCTGAAAGTGGCACATGGCAGAGTGTGGCGATGGAGACAGCAGCAATGGGAGGCCGTACAGGGACCCATGAGACACTCTGTGGACCTGGCAGCAGCATGAGGAGGCGGTACGGGGGCCCATGGCAGATTACGGGCCTGGCAGCAGCAATGGGAGGCCCGTAATCTGCCAGCACCCTATGACAAAATGGAACACACACCAGCAGTGTGAGGAGACCTGAAAGTGGCACATGGCAGAGTGTGGCGATGGAGACAGCAGCAATGGGAGGCCGTACAGGGACCCATGAGAGACTCTGGACCTGGCAGCAGCATGAGGAGGCGGTACGGGGGCCCATGGCAGATTACGGGCCTGGCAGCAGCAATGGGAGGCCCGTAATCTGCCAGCACCCTATGACAAAATGGAACCCACCAGCAGTGTGAGGAGACCTGAAAGTGGCACATGGCAGAGTGTGGCGATGGAGACAGCAGCAATGGGAGGCCGTACAGGGACCCATGACACACTCTGGACCTGGCAGCAGCATGAGGAGGCGGTACAGGGGGCCATGGGAGATTACGGGCCAGCAGCATGAGGAGGCGGTACGGGGCCCATGGGCAGCAGCAATGGAGGCCCGTAATCTGCCAGCACCCTATGACAAAATGGAACCCACCAGCAGTGTGAGGAGACCTGAAAGTGGCACATGGCAGAGTGTGGCGATGGAGACAGCAGCAATGGGAGGCCGTACAGGGACCCATGAGACACTCTGGACCTGGCAGCAGCATGAGGCATGAGGAGGCGGTACGGGGGCCCATGGCAGATTACGGGCCTGGCAGCAGCAATGGGAGGCCCGTAATCTGCCAGCACCCTATGACAAAATGAAACACACCAGCAGTGTGAGGAGACCTGAAAGTGGCACATGGCAGAGTGTGGCGATGGAGACAGCAGCAATGGGAGGCCGTACAGGGACCCATGAGACACTCTGGACCTGGCAGCAGCATGAGGAGGCGGGGGTGGCGGCATACGGGGGCCCATGGCAGATTACGGGCCTGGCAGCAGCAATGGGAGGCCCGTAATCTGCCAGCACCCTATGACAAAATGGAACACACCAGCAGTGTGTGAGGAGACCTGAAAGTGGCACATGGCAGAGTGTGGCGATGGAGACAGCAGCAATGGGAGGCCGTACAGGGACCCATGAGAGACTCTGGACCTGGCAGCAGCATGAGGAGGCGGTACAGGGGCCCATGGCAGATTACGGGCCTGGCAGCAGCAATGGGAGGCCCGTAATCTGCCAGCACCCTATGACAAAATGGAACACACCAGCAGTGTGAGGAGACCTGAAAGTGGCACATGGCAGAGTGTGGCGATGGAGACAGCAGCAATGGGAGGCCGTACAGGGACCCATGAGACACTCTGGACCTGGCAGCAGCATGAGGAGGCGGTACGGGGGCCCATGGCAGATTACGGGCCTGGCAGCAGCAATGGGAGGCCCGTAAATCTGCCAGCACCCTATGATGACAAAATGGAACACACCAGCAGTGTGAGGAGACCTGAAAGTGGCACATGGCAGAGTGTGGCGATGGAGACAGCAGCAATGGGAGGCCGTACAGGGACCCATGAGAGACTCTGGCCTGGCAGCAGCATGAGGAGGCGGTACGGGGGCCCATGGCAGATTACGGGCCTGGCAGCAGCAATGGGAGGCCCGTAATCTGCCAGCACCCCTATGACAAAATGGAACACACCAGCAGTGTGAGGAGACCTGAAAGTGGCACATGGCAGAGTGTGGCGATGGAGACAGCAGCAATGGGAGGCCGTACAGGGACCCATGAGACACTCTGGACCTGGCAGCAGCATGAGGAGGCGGTACAGGGGGCCCATGGCAGATTACGGGCCTGGCAGCAGCAATGGGAGGCCCGTAATCTGCCAGCACCCTATGACAAAAAAATGGAACACACCAGCAGTGTGAGGAGACCTGAAAGTGGCACATGGCAGAGTGTGGCGATGGAGACAGCAGCAATGGGAGGCCGTACAGGGACCCATGAGAGACTCTGGACCTGGCAGCAGCATGAGGAGGCGGTACAGGGGCCCATGGCAGATTACGGGCCTGGCAGCAGCAATGGGGGCCCGTAATCTGCCAGCACCCTATGACAAAATGGAACACACCAGCAGTGTGAGGAGACCTGAAAGTGGCACATGGCAGAGTGTGGCGATGGAGACAGAGTGTGGCGATGGAGACAGCAGCAATGGGAGGCCGTACAGGGACCCATGAGAGACTCTGGACCTGGCAGCAGCATGAGGAGGCGGTACGGGGGCCCATGGCAGATTACGGGCCTGGCAGCAGCAATGGGAGGCCCGTAATCTGCCAGCACCCTATGACAAAATGGAACACACCAGCAGTGTGAGGAGACCTGAAAGTGGCACATGGCAGAGTGTGGCGATGGAGACAGCAGCAATGGGAGGCCGTACAGGGACCCATGAGACACTCTGGACCTGGCAGCAGCATGAGGAGGCGGTACGGGGGCCCATGGCAGATTACGGGCCTGGCAGCAGCAATGGGAGGCCCGTAATCTGCCAGCACCCTATGACAAAATGGAACACACCAGCAGTGTGAGGAGACCTGAAAGTGGCACATGGCAGAGTGTGGCGATGGAGACAGCAGCAATGGGAGGCCGTACAGGGACCCATGAGAGACTCTGGACCTGGCAGCAGCATGAGGAGGCGGTACGGGGGCCCATGGCAGATTACGGGCCTGGCAGCAGCAATGGGAGGCCCGTAATCTGCCAGCACCCTATGACAAAATGGAACACACCAGCAGTGTGAGGAGACCTGAAAGTGGCACATGGCAGAGTGTGGCGATGGAGACAGCAGCAATGGGAGGCCGTACAGGGACCCATGAGACACTCTGGACCTGGCAGCAGCATGAGGAGGCGGTACGGGGGGCCCATGGCAGATTACGGGCCTGGCAGCAGCAATGGGAGGCCCGTAATCTGCCAGCACCCTATGACAAAAAATGGAACACACCAGCAGTGTGAGGAGACCTGAAAGTGGCACATGGCAGAGTGTGGCGATGGAGACAGCAGCAATGGGAGGCCGTACAGGGACCCATGAGAGACTCTGGGACCTGGCAGCAGCATGAGGAGGCGGTACAGGGGCCCATGGCAGATTACGGGCCTGGCAGCAGCAATGGGAGGCCCGTAATCTGCCAGCACCCTATGACAAAATGGAACACACCAGCAGTGTGAGGAGACCTGAAAGTGGCACATGGCAGAGTGTGGCGATGGAGACAGCAGCAATGGGAGGCCGTACAGGGACCCATGAGACACTCTGGACCTGGCAGCAGCATGAGGAGGCGGTACAGGGGCCCATGGCAGATTACGGGCCTGGCAGCAGCAATGGGAGGCCCGTAATCTGCCAGCACCCTATGACAAAAAAATGGAACACACCAGCAGTGTGAGGAGACCTGAAAGTGGCACATGTTTGGGGCATGATTCATGGCGGATTTAGTCAGTTGTGTCAGGAACTGGTGGTTTGAAATCCAGACTAATCCACGCCTGATTCATTTTCACAAACGTGAGTCTCTCCACACTTTGGGTGGACAGTCGTGTCCTCCGCGGAGTTACAATACCTCCTGCCGCACTAAACACGCGCTCCGATGCCACGCTACTGGCCGGGCATGACAGCCTTTCAAGGGCAAATTCAGCTAGTTGGGGCCAAAGGTCAAGTTTCGTTGCCCAGTAGTCAAGGGGATTGTCTACCTCGGTTGGCAGGGTGCTGTCCAAGTAGGCCCAAGCCTGTTGTTTGAGGTCCTGCTCCAGGTCCACCTGATGCTGCTGCTGCTGCTGCTGCGGCTGGTTAGTAGTTTCCTCACTGCGCTGGTGAAGAAAGCTACTCATCATCGACTGCAGACTGAGGCAGCCGCTGCTGGTGGAGCTGCCACTGCTCCTACCACCCCACCCCTCCCCTGCTGCCATGGCAGCGGAACGCGAGCGCACAGGGCCCACAGTGTCTGAGGATGGACGTTGGCGCAGAAAGGCAGAGACCAACTGACTACATAGGTGGTTTTTATAGTACGTTTATTTTGGCCTCCCTCTCAGCAGGTGTGAAAAAGGCCACCATTTTTGAACGGTAGCGAGGGTCCAACAAGGTGGACAGCCAAAAGTCATCCCCTCTGTCTGATGGTTATTATTCGGCTGTCGCTACGCAAGCAACCGAGCATGCTATGGGCCATTTGTGCCAAGGAATGCGAGGGACTCCCTGGACTCCCTGCCTCCATCTCCACAGCATACTGCCACGGTGCGTCTGGGTCCTCTGTCTCCTCCTCCTCCTCCTCTACCAGATGCTCCTGCTCCTCCACTCCTGTCCGCTGAGTGGAAAAACCACCCCATTTCACTCAATAATTCCTGAGCACAAATGTCCTCCTCTACCTCCTCCTCTTCTTCCTGTCCCTGCCCCCACAGGGGTCATGTGGCGTTGAGATCTGTGCGCCACGTCTACCGCACCCCTGACCCTGACCAGCCATTGTTAACAGCATTTGTTCCAGGACGTGCAACAGAGGAATGACGTCGTCGTTCATCCCATAGTCCTGCCGACTCACGAATAGCGTGGCCTCTCCTCAAAGGGCCTGAGCAAGCGGCAGGTGTCACGCATGAGCTGCCAATGGCTGACATCGAAGTTACACAGGGGAGTACCTTTATCCGCTTGTAACATCAGGAAATCGGTGATGGCCTTTCGCTGTTCGTAAAGGCGGTCTAACATGTGTAGGGTTGAATTCCACCTTGTTGCAACGTCGCAGATCAGGCGATGCTGTGGAATTCCGTTCTGCTGCCGCTGCAGCTCAAGGAGGGTGTGCTTTGCGGTGTAGGAATGGCTGAAATGCATGCAAAGTTTACGTGACATTTTAAGGATGTCTTGCAGTGGGATGGTGGATTTTAGGAACCGCTTGACAACCAGATTGAACACGTGAGCCATGCATGGCGCATGGCACAACCTTCCTTGACGCAGAGCAGACACCATGTTCTTTCCCGTTGTCGGTCAACATGGTTCCGATTTTCAGTTTGCGCGGAGACAGCCATCTGTCGATTTCTCTGTTCATTACACTCAGAAGTTCCTCCCCTGTGTGACTACGTTCGCCAAGGCATACCAGGTGCAGCACAGCGTGACACCGTTGCGCCCTGCACATGTGATATGCCGGTCGGTAATGGGACTTGGCACGGGGGTGGCGGCTGAGGACACGGCGGAAGAAGAGGTGGTAGAGGCGGACATCTTTGCCGGACCAAGGACGTGCAAACGTGGAGGCAAAAGCGGCGTGACCTGTCCAAGTTGCTGGTGCGGCTGTGCCGGCACCACGTTCACACCCAGTGGGCCGTAAATGACATGTACTGTCCCTGACCGTAGTTACAGCTCCACACGTCGGCGCTGCCGTGCACTTTGCAGAGACCGACATGCTCAAAGACTGGCCCACCATCTCTTCTACATGTGAATGCAGGGCTGGCACTGCCTTTTTGGCGAAGAAATGACGGCTTGGCACTCTCCACCGCGGCGCGGCACAAGCCATCATTTCTCGGAAAGGTGCTGAGTCCACCACTTGGAAAGGGAGGGACTGCAGCACCAGCAACTTGGACAGGAGGACGTTCAGCTTCTGCACCGTCGGTGCGTGCTCGCAAACTGTTGTCTCTTGGAAACGGATTCCAAGAAAGACTGCTGACGGAATCCGTGAAGAGGAGTAGCAGGAGAAGGAGCATCTGAACGAGCGGAAGATGCCAACGAGCGACAACTCCCCTCAGCAGAGGTGTTGGAGCCTTGACTGGCTGATAGAGGGCGATTGACGTCGGGTGACGGAGCAAGTAACGGAGCGGGTGATGGAGCGGGGGCTGGGGCAGGCAGAACCGCCGTATCTTTATCACGGTTTTCCCAGGCCACCAAATGGCGACGCTGCATATGCTGACGCAACGCTGTAGTCCCAACATGGGCCCCCTGGCCACGCTTGACTTTCTGGCCACATAGTCGACATACGGCTACGTTTACTTCCTCGGGCGGCTTGACGAAAAATTGCCACACCGCCGAGTAGGAAACTTTGCCCCCGCTACTCCTCACTGGCTGACTGCTACTTCCTCCGTGCACACCGGCACCACTACTGGCCGTGGTGGTAGGCTGCAGTGGAGCTGGTGCTCTACTCCGTGGCCGTTTGCCTCCACTGACACTGCTGCGACCCTGCTGCCTCCTGGGCAACCCACCGACTGTTTTGCTCGCTGCCAAGCTGGCACCCTCTTCTCCTGATGATGCGGAAGCAATAGCCTGATGACGACGAGGCTGCCAAGTGCGATCAGCCTCATCATCATCAATTAGGGTCTCC